GAACCCACCAAAGTACCTCCTCCAAGGTAAACAGACAGGAAGCCTCGCTCGCTCTCACCCAGGACGCACCACTGGGGAGTGCAGACGGTCAAGTGTGGACAGACCATCTGCTGCCATGCCACACAATCCCCACACCCGCTCTCCACTCTCCACACCAGTTTAACGCCCATGCCCCAGCCCAATGTTCTTCTGGAACCTTCTTCCATGCTAACGATCTAAAGTCAATAAATCAGTCCCGATGGCTTTAACGTCAGCATTCCCCCAGGCGGCAACGCGCGCAGGGTACTTCTGGCCTCTCTCTGTACTACGTATTTCATATTTTACGTGGACTCTTGTTTTTTTAACTCAGTTCCCTTGTAAAGGTCACTCTCTATCACTATGGCCGAACCAGCCTATTTGTAACGCGAACAGAAATACGCGCACAGCTTGCCCACGGGAGGCAAGCTGCCCCGCCCCGGCGCTCACCTGTGCGGTAGCCCGTGCTGTTGAGGTAGGCGGCGAAGGTGCGGCTCTCGTGCTGCGCCTGCCAGGACGGCGACGAGCAGTTCTCGTTGTTGGTGTAGGTGTTGTGGTTGTGGACGTACTTGCCGGTGAGCAGCGAGGACCGCGACGGGCAGCACATGGGAGTGGTCACGAAGGCGTTGACGAAGTGCGCGCCGCCCTGCTCCATGATGCGCCGCGTCTTGTTCATCACCTGCATGGAGCCTGCGAGGGCGCGGCGGGAGGTGAGGCGCGCGCCCCACTCGGGTGCCCCCCACTCGGACTCTACCCCCCCCCAGGGAACTGACTGGTAGTCTGGGAACGGGCTGAGTGGCTCTCAACAGGACATGGCACCCCATCCCCGGGGGGGGGGGGATATGCATTTTGGAAATCTCTTGGGGCACCTGGGGGCAGTGGCCAGCAAGGCGCCGTGGGATGGACCTGCGCCAGGAGGAAGCATCCTGGGTCCCCAGTCCCGCTGGGCGTTGATGGGGTTTATAAGTCACCTGAGCCTAGAATGGAACCCTGTTTGATATATAAACAGAAGATCTTTTTTGCAGGGTATTAATATACACTGATTTTTTTTTTGGAAGCACCCGCTAGATAAACCAAGGGAAGATTACACTTTTGTTTTCTTTGGAATCTTCCCAAGTATTGTTTGCTCTTACTGAAATCTGGTGACGCCAACCCCCTGGCTCACCTCTCTCTGAATACTTCTCAGCCAAAATGCTCTACATCAGCCACGAACCACGCTCTCCGCCTCTGTCCCCGAGGTCCTTCTGGCTCGGAACCCACTTCTCACCTCCCTCAGATCTAACCAATCGGTCGAGCCTCTTCTAGTTGCCCTCTGGGATCACTCCGGTTCTAATTCCCTGCAGCTCTTATTACACGTGCAGCGCGTGTTATTAGGGCTTAATTATACACCACCAGGCACAGTGCTTTCATTCATGCCTATTCTTGTTTCTTGAAGCTGTCAGCAGAGTAAGGCGTGCAGGAAGGAAACCGACGTGTGTGGAAACCCCACCGAGGGCAGGTGCTTTCACGCTTGCTGTGCCCCACGAGGAAAAAGACCCTGCCTTGCTCGGTGCTCAATCCTCAACGCCCCCATGGTGTGTGACACACAGTAGGTGCTCAGTAAAGGTGTGAAGAGTGGATGTGTAATTGTACCCAACACTTACTAGTTGTAATGGAAACAGTGGAATTTCTCTTCCTTCTATGGCCACCTGCAGCTCTTTTCCTTTTCCCTGCAGTTCTCAGGGTCTGTAGGGTTGAATGCCGGCCCACCCTCTAAAGATATGTCCAGGTCCTAAGCCCTGAAATCAGTGAATGTGACCTAATTTGGACAAAGGGACTTTGTGGATACACTTAAGGATCTTGAGGAGAGATGGTTCTGGATTACCCAGGTGGGCCCTAACTCCAGGGATAAGTGTCCTTATTAAGAGACAGAAGGAAGAAGACAGACACAGAGGGAACGGCCAGGTAAAGATGGAGGCAGAGATCAGAGGGATGCATCTACAAGCCAAGGAATGTCTGGAGCCCCCAGAGGCCAAAAGAGCAGGGAAAGATTCTCCCCTAGAGCCTTTGGAGGAACCACAGCCCTGCTGGCACCCTCATTTTGAACTTCTGTCTCCAGAACTGTGAAAGAGCATATTTCTGTTGTTTTAAGCCACCCGGTTTGTGAAAATTTGTTAGGAAAGCAATACAGCATCTACCAGGCATCTGAGGTTCTTGTGGTGAGCTGCTCATTTCAATCACCAATAATCCCCTAGAGACCTGAAAACGACCAATCAGAATCCCTCAGCACTCTGTCCCTAAAGGCTAAGAATGAAAAGGAGATTTATATAACTTTATCCCATCTTTCTGCCAAATACAGAAGGAAACAGAGCTAGAGCTTTCCTGAGGCAAATATAGATCATATCTCTTCACCTCTTCACACTTAAAACCATCCAATAGCTTCCCACTGCGCTCACAAAAAACCCTACATTTCTTCCTGTGGCCTAAAAGACTCTTCAAGACCTGCCCTCCCCCATCAACCCACTTCCTGTGTTTCTCTGACCTCATCTCTTCCCTCCCCCTTGCTCAGTTGGCTACACTGGCCTCCTCACTATTTCTCCAATGCTCCAAGCTTATCCCTGTCCCAGGACCTTTGCACTTGCTATTGCCTCTGCTGGGGCTCTTTCTGAGATTTTGGCTGGCTTGTCCCATTATTTGGCTAACTTAGAGGCTATCTCCTCAGCAAGGTCACCTCTTCCCCACCTGAAAGAGCCCCCACCCTGCTTACTTCCTATCTCACCAGTGTATGTTTCTTCTTAGCATTTATCTCCTTCTTAAATGGTGGTTTTTACTGGTCTGCTTGTTTATGATCTGCCTCTCCTCCTAGACTGAGAGTTCTAAGTGATCCAGGTGCTGCCTACCTCCCCACCCTAGGAACATGTCATTGGTGTTCTGTAAAAACTGAAGAAAACGAAGCAAAGCCTGCCCTTTCAAGCCCAGCACAGTGGTGGTTTTAAAAGGGGCACATTCCTGGAGCCAGGTGTGTTTCCTGAGCCTCTTGGCCAAGGTTGCCCCTGTTGGGTGGAGGAAAGGACAGGCTTTGTGTTTGAACAGGAATTGTCAGGCCCTGGGGACTGTGTGAATATCTGTATCAAGGTCACAGGCCCTCATGAGAAGTCCCTGAGGGTCCCAGCTGTAACTGGTAGGCAAGGAAAGGCTTTCCACCAGGTGTGAAGTCTCCCTCTGGAGGGGAAGGAGGAGGTGGGCTTTTCGAGGCCTTCCTCAACCAGCTGGTGATAACTTGCTGGAACCTGATGGGGCGGTCTGGCCAAGCCCTGGGGCCTCACCAGCCTCAGGCCACTCCTGGGGACCTGGCCCCTTGGGATCCCAGGCAGCCTTCTGCTGGCCAATCAGTTCCTTCCATCTTGAATTTTAACCACAAACTGACATATCAAGCCTATGTCCTTGAGGCCCCAAGCTTGAATATGGGCCACATTCCCACTTCATGGCCTTTGCCTGAGCTGTGACCTCCGCCTGGGGTGCTCCCTCTAACTTCCTCCAGGTTATTGACCAAACTTCAGACATCTCAGAGAAACCTTCCCTGGCCCCATACTGAAACTGCTCCCCCCCAACTCCCTTCCCTGCCTCACTTCTCCCCACAGTTACTGCCCTTGAGCCCCAAAGTCACTTCTAGTTCACTTGTTTGCATGCTGCCTGTCACTTCCACTAGAACAGCTCCACAGGGATTTAGGCCTACTTTGTTCACTGTCATATTTCCAAGCCTAGAACAGGCGCAGCACATAGTGGGTGCTAAACAGATACCTGCTAAAATAATAAAAAATTATCTTACTCTTTGGGTTTCCATATAACTCAGGAGCTCAAGCTGGTTTGTGCCCATGGACATGTGTGTGTGTGTGTATGTGTGTGTTGTGCAGTGGAAACTGATCCTGTATTCTCTAGTTGGCCACACTCGCCAGCACTCCCTATAGTCTCACACCAACTTCACTCATCCACATTATCTGCCCGGTCCCTGAAGGCCTTGGTTTTGCAACTCCTAATGTAACTCAGCTGCTGAGACAGCTCCACTCTGTCCGTGGGGCAGAGGGCACTGTTATATGTCAACAGTCATCATCATTATTAATGTGGTGACTGTCACTGGCTGAATGTCGGTTGTGTACATTGTTTACACATGTACTGGTTTACTTAATCCTCTCAACAGCCCATTTACCAGAAGAGGGAACTGGGTTCGGGGAGTTAAATGATGGTGAAGGTGGCAGAGCTGGGGAAGCAGGAAGTGAGGACTCAGATCCAGGCTTGTTTGCTGGGAGAGGTGGGTGCTGGGTGTCATGTTAGGAAATGTTCAGTTTATATCATGTGGGAGGTGGTGACACTGTACCAAGGAAGCGCACAGAGGTTCCTCTGCACTCAGTCAACTCTTGGCTACAGCAAGGCTCAGAACAGTCTCTGGACTGTAGGTATATCCAGTCCCCCAGTCATCCCCGAGGGGACTTTAGCTGGCACAGCAGCAGTGAGAGCGGCACAGGGTCCCATCACCAACCACCAGGGACAGCAGTGGTGGGAGTGATTCCTGCTCGTTCCTGGTAAACTCCAGGAGAAAGTGTCCTTCACACCTGCACACCTTCTGTCTGACAGGGAGGGAACTGGCCACCGCTGGGAGCTCGGGCGGGCGGCGGTGTTAGCTTATATTTGCTCAAATGATTTACTTTCCTCCCATTTGGGGCAAGGGACACACACTTCTCTCTCTCAGGGTAGTGGGATCCTGTTTTCGTTTTGTTTTAAATCACAGCTGTTTAAAATAAGTAAATAACAGTACAGGTGGCACACAGATATGGTGAAGCAGTGGAAGGGTGAGGGCCGGCTGGCGTTTGGTAGCACTGGCTTGGTACAACCCAGTGCTGTCACTTCAAAGAAGTGTGAACAGACACTTCGGGTGCCACAGCCAGAGCTGAGCTCCTGGTGTCACCCACCCCCTCGTGGCTCCTCCTGCATTGCCTTCCCTTTCCTCCAGTTACTTAAGCAATAATCTGGGCTACTCCTTCGTCCCCTCTTTCCGTTCTCACATCCACTCCATCAGCAAAGCCTGTTGTTCTTCAAAGTAGATCCGCAACCAGGGCCTGTGGCCTCCCCTCTTGGATGGCGCTCACCTTCTCTCCTCTGAATCAGGTCAACTGCCTCCTGACTGGACTCTGACCAGAGTGCCCCCTCTCCTCAGCACCCTCCATGGCTCCCACTCACTCGAGAATAAAGTCCCCGTGGTCGCCCACAGGCTCTGCGGGACCCTGCAGCCCACTCCCCACCCATTCCACAGCCAGGCTCACTCCCACCTCAGAGCCTTTGCCCATGCTGTTCCTCTTCCTTGAAACTCCTTTCCCTCAGCGCCCCCGGCCTGTGCCCTCTCACCCCCTTCTTGTCTCCACTCAAAAGCCGTCTTCTCAGTGAGGCCTTCCCCACCCCACGGCCACAGTTTTACTCCCCCGCCCCGGAAACTTCACATCCACTTCCTTGTTTCACAATCTCAGCTCTGATGCACCATCTAACACACAATGTACTTTTACGTTTTTACGTATTTGTCTTGCTTGGCATCCCCCTGCAGCCCCAGATGTCAGCACCACAAGGGCCGCAGTTACTGACTGTGCCTCACAGCCCCAGCCTAGAACAGTGCCTGGCATACAGTAGATGCTCAATACGTATTTCTTGAAGAATGAATCCAG